TTGACTCCTGTTCACTAGCTTAGGCCAATGAGGCCAGGTGACCTCGGTGACCTGCTTCCTTCCAGAAGAAGAAGGGGCCTAGAAGACCCTCTAGAAAGTCTTGAACCTCAATATCCAACTTTCAGTAGTAGTGACATGTAGAGAAGAAAATGTAATTTTCTGCTGACAAACAGAAACCACTGTGCTGAAACCACTCATCCTTTGCCAGTACATCTCTCACCCATACCAGCCCTGTCTCCTTCATTTGACCTTGGACCATTTATTTCTGCCATCCAAGCCTGAATCCCTGTAGCCTACAGGTCTGTCCAGGTGGCAGCGTGCAGCCCCCTGGCCCATGGCTCACTCCTACCTAAGGAGCTCCCACTCCAGAAGAGTCAGCTACCCAGCACCCCGTTAGTCTTTGCTTCAAAGGGAGACTTAGAAGTCCTGTTTCACCTATGAGTGTCCCCTTCACAGTGGCTGCCTGTTTTTTCAAGACTGCACTTCCCTTGCTTGGCAGTATCAGTCAGAAGAGAGAGAGCAACATGAGGCAGAGTCTGGAGGAAACCATAGGCTCCCTGTGTTCCTCTCTCCATTCTGCAGTATAGGAAATCAACAGTAGGCGTGCAGGATTTTCACTCAGAGACTCACAAAGTCCAAAGTTCTTCTTTTCATTCAGTTCAAAATACTTTAATTTCACATTTCCCACTTGATATTTTTCCTTTGGTCCTGGGATATGTAGAAATTTGTTTTTGTTTTGTTTTCAGTCTTGAAACATATGGAGATTTTACAGATATTTTTCTGTTAATCATTTCTAATTTAATTATATTATGGTAGAGAATATCCTTGGTCTGATTTAAACATTTAAATTCACAGTAGGAGCCAGATAAATGTCTGTATTAGTCAGTGTTTCAAGCCCATCTGGAAAGAAGGTGTATTCTTCTTCTGGTGGGAGAAGTGTTCTATTAATATTAATTAGATCAGAGTGTTTGATCACACTTTTCCTATCATCTGTTTTTGCTATTTTTCCCCCAAATTTAGTACATGCTAAAAGGAGAACATTGGGATCTTCAACATGACTGTGGCTCTGGACTTGTCTCTTTCTCTGTCAGTTTTTGCTTCATGTGTTGTGAGGCTTAGCTGTTCAGATACTTATTCATGATAGTCACGTATATGATTGTTAGGCCTTTCTACTGACTCTTGGCCATTATAAAGTATTCCTCTTTAATATTACATAATACAATCTTATAATCTACTTTATTTAATATAATACAGCATAAATATAAAACATAATATAATGTTATAAACATAAATATAAATATATGGTGGGGTAGTGGTGATTCATGCCTATAATCCTAGCTACTCAGAAAGCTGAGATCTGAGGATCACAGTTCAAAGCCAGCCAGGAAAGTCCATGAGACTCTTTTTTTTTTTTAATTTAATTTTATTTTATTTGTGAACATACTGTACAGAGGGGTTACAATTACATGGGCAGGATAATGCATGCATTTCTTACCAAGCATTGCAGCCTCCTCCTTTGTTTACCCTTCACTTCCCTTCCCAGCCTCCCTCCTCCCCCCCCCCCCCCCATGAGACTCTTAATCTCCAATTAACCACCAGAAAACTGGAAGTAGTGCTGTAGCTCAAGGTGCTAAAGTACTATCCTTGAGCAGAAAAACTCAGGGACAGTGGCCAGGCCCTGAGTTCAAGCTCCACAACCAACCCTCCACAAAAAAATGCTATAAACATATGTCATATATTTATGACATAAAAATATGTTTATTTACATCATGCATCGTTTCTCATCCATATGCTCTCAATCTGTGTCTATTTAAGGTGCATTTCTTATGGAGAACAAACTAATTTTGTTTTGTTCTAATCAGTTCTGGCAATGTTTAATTGGAGTCTTTAGTTCATTGATATTCAATGTAGTCATATGATTGGACTAAAGTTAATTTATTTAGTCTTGGTAATGGAGTGTGAACTTGGCCTTTCATTTGCTAGGCATTTTATGTCCATCGCCCCTCCCCAGCACTTCCTGCTTTAGGTTATTTTAAATATTTTTATTACTGGTAATTCTAACACTTAAACTCAGCGCCTCACACTTGTTAGGCAGGTACTCTGTTACTTTAGTCATGCCCCAAGCCAGTTTTTTTTTAACTCAATTTTTTTTTGTGTGTCTAAGACCATAATCCTCCTTTTTACTCTTCCCATGTAGCTGGGGTTACAGGCATGGACCAGCAAACCCAGCTTTTTGACTGTTTCTGGCCCTTCTTGTTTGTTTTTTGCTTGATTCTCTTTAATTTTTTTGTTTCTCTGGTTTTTCTTAATGTATACTTGAATTATACCTGTTAGATATTTGTACAGTTTTTAAGTTTTTATCTATCCATTGGCTTTTTAGTTAAATCTCTGCATTGTTTACTGGTTGCCCTACAGAATGTCTTACACATCTTTAACTCATCTATATACACTTTACCTAACATTATACTAGTTCGTGTGACTCACAGACAACTAAGCATTGTAAGGTCCAATTACTACTCTCCCCCCATTCTTTCTACTGTAGTTTTCATATACGGTACTTCTGCATACATGGCAAACCCTACAAGGCAATGCTAGCATTTTTGCTTTAAACATGTATGTTTTATAGAAATTAGGGGGAACTGTTCTCTGGTATTTGCCATTCCTGTGCACTGATGCCTGACAAGAAGGGTGCACATCTGCTCCATCCTTCCCTCTCCAAGGATACTTTTGTGCTTTGGGGCCAATGCCCTGACTACTCAGTCTCAGCAGCCACCTTGACCTGGCACATCAACAGCTGCCTTACCACCTGCAGGCTGCAGACCAAGCCAGCCAGCCTCACACAGATAAAACATACACTGCAGGAGCACTGTACAAGGGGAGAAGACAGAGGCACAAGCTCAGGACTGTCTCATCTCCTCATACAGACCCCCTCATCTCTAGGGACTATGATTCTTGAGAAGTTGCATTATTAATATCGAGCTTTGAAGACTAAAACCGTTGCCAGAGAACATAGCTGTCTTCCCCCAGGAACTTTCAAAGTGGTTGTGGCATGATTAGATGCTTGCATACTGATGTGACCACTAGCTAAGCTCTCAGCTGTATTTCTAGGACTCTATTCTGGCAGCCTTTGTTGTAGGACAATGGACAGTCCTGAGCTTGTGCCTCCATCTTTTCTCCTTGTATAGTGTCCCCTGCAGTGTCTTGAGAGGAAGTTTCTCTGTGAAGCCCACAGCGTGAAGGCTCAACAGGCCTGGCCCCTCAGGACAGGCAAGATAGACAGGCACACCATCTAGATGGCTTCCCCCCTAAAAGCCCTTCTACCCGTACAGCTATTAAAAGTCCTACTTTCAGACATGGATTCCAGATGCACTTTACTAGTACATTTTCAGTACCAGAGTCTGCAAAAGTGAAAAGCTAGGTAAGAGGAAGGCAAGCTCCATATCTGTGTAGAGAATGGCTCCTGACTACATTGCCATCTGGCTGCCTTGTGTCCCTCCCTCCCTCTGTCAGCCAGGCCATCCTACAAAGTTGGCTCTCCCTGGGAGGTCCTCCTTCCGCTGCCCTGTCACTGCATACTCACAGCCCAGTTCAATAGGCTCCTAGGAAGGTTTGGTAAATTTTTTTTTTCTTTTATGCCAGTACTAAGGCTTAAACTTGAGGCCTAGGTGCTCTCCCTGGGCTTCTATATTCAAGGCTGGTGCTCTACCACTTGAGCCATGCCCTCAGTATTATTCTTGCTTTGGTTGTTTTTGAGAAGGTCTCACATTTTTTCTAGGCCAGCCTAGACCACTGTCCCCTATTTATGCTTCCCTCTATAGCTGGGGAAACAGGTGTACCCCACCATGCCCAGCTTTTTCTGTTGAGATGGGATCTTATGAACTTTTCTGCCTAGGCTGACCTGGAACTGTAATCCTCCTGATATCCATCTCCTTAATCACTAGGATGATGGTCATTAGCCACCAGCAACTGGACATACACTTTCATTTTTTTTTGTTTCATCTTATTATTATTTCATATTGTTTCATCTTTGTAATAAAAAAACAGCTCATTATATTCAAATGTTTTTTTCCTTTCATGCAATTGTTTCTAACACATTTATAACATTATTTCTTTGTTGCTTTGTATGTCCCTCCCCCACAGTATAACCCCTGCTTTCACTGTATTTGATGTCGATATAATTTGTGGAGGGGAAGGGGAAAAACAAATCGTTTAAATAGGAATACAGGTGGACCCATTGCAACAATGAGATGTACAAGTCGTTATGTCAAAAACAAACTTTACAACTTTGGTGGAGGGGAAAGGGGGGACGGGGAGGATTGGGTGGGGGGGGCGGGGGGAGGATGGGAAGGGGAAACAAAGGAGGAGGCTACAATGCTTGATAAGAAATGTACTCATTATCTTGCCCATGTAATTGTAACCCCTCTGTACAGTATTTTTACAATAAAAAAAGAAAAAAAAAACAAGACGTTTATTTAAACAACAAGATACTTGACTTGAAGGGGAAACTATCTAGGATTCTTTTTTTTTAAGAGTAATTGCCCTACATGTAATAGCTACGTACAAAAAAGTTATAAAATTGTCCTTGGTTTTACAATGATAAATGAAAACATTAAAATTCTCCAATCAAACAAGGTATGCAAGGATTTTTGTTGTTTTTTTCTTTTTTTGTTAAAACAATGAGAGCAAAATAACTAACTCAAATATAAAGATAAAAGCTGAATGCGCATGCCACGAATGGAGGAGGGGGCTATTTTCACAAGACAGTATTTTTCCCCATCCCATCTCCATTTGATGTCAATAAAAATATACCATTGGCCATTTAATTTAAAAGAAACAAAAAGAAAAAGAAAAAAGAAAAGCAATGTGCTTGTGCACATACACCAGTTACTTTATGTACAATAAAGGAATGGGGAAGGGGAAAATGAAAGAATAGAGAAAACTATATTGTAGTAGTCAGGATGTGGTGGACCCAAATTGCAGTCTTCTAATTAAGAATGTATTCTTGGTCTGTAAGAACAAAGTTCTGGAGCAAAGTAGCAGGTTCCCTTTTTTAGTAGACACCTCCTGTCTGCTGCTGGAACATATCAATTGTATCTTCATCCTCCATTTCCAACTGTGCAGGTGTGTCTGTGTCATTGATTGGCTGCCCATCAAATCGGAATCTGATCTGCCTCATTGACAAACCCTGTCGTTCACAATAGGCTTTCATTAGTTTACTAAGTGGTGTGTGCCTCTTCATCTTAAACTGCACCACAGAACCATCCTGCCCCGCCACCTTCAAATTAATATGATCGTTGTTCTCAGTCTTGACTCCTTCCTTGGGCTTTTCGTCTGCCATTGCGAGCGCCGGAGTCTCCTCAGATGCCGCTTTATAAAAGAGGTCCCTGGTCCGCACCGAACGAGCATACAGGCAGCACCACAGCAGCTGGAGGAGGTGGCAGCGGTGGACAGGTTTTCATTTTTGAGTGTGCTTCCAGACTTGACTGAATGAATGGCTCTATCTCTAAGATGTCTTTGCTGGTCTACTACCTCTTTGACTGGCCGCTCAGAACTAGGAATGAGTGCTAGGTTCCAAACAGCAAGTGGCTTGAAGTACATGGTTCAAGGTTATGACTATCAAGCCTGAGAATGCTCTCAACTTACCTTTGAACTCAGTGGCTTCTTACCCTTTGGAGGTGCCATCTTTTCTACTTTTGAATTAAGTTTCTTGAGAATGGAGCTTTCTCTCTTTAGTTGTCATATCCCTATGCCTAGCACACGGCCTAGCACATGATATATGCTCAACAAACAAGGAATGGATGAATGGCCTCATGATAGATCACCCATTTTTGTCCATAATAAACAGTAAATTGCTAGAGGGTGGAGATTAGATCTACAAAGACCCAGTGACAACTTCTTGGGTTAAATTAAAACTGGGAGCCAAGAGCCACTGGCTCATGCCTGTGATCCTAGCTAGTCAGTGGGCTCAGATCTGAGGATCATGGTTCAAAGCCAGCCAAATCAAGAAAGTATGCAAGACTCTTTTTTTTTTTTTTTTTGGTTGGTCATGGGGCCTGAACTCAGGACCTGGGCGCTGTCCCTCAGCTCTTTAACTCAAGGCTAGCACTCTACCATTTGAGCCACAGTGCCACTTCCAGCATTTTCTGCTTGTGTGGTGCTGAGGAATCGAACCCGGGGCCTCATGCATGCAAGGCAAGCACTCTACCACTGAGCCACCTTCCCAGCCCTGCAAGACTCTTATCTCCAATTAACTACCAAAAAGCCAGTGGAGCTGTGGCTTAAGTGGTAGAGTGCTAGGATAGGTCTTGGGGCCTGAGTTCAAGCCCTAGGATAAGTATGCAAAAAAAAAAAAAAAAAATAGAAGCTGGGGGATTCACCAGAGATACACCTTTCCTCCTGGGGTGATTATTCACAAAATGCAGTGAATGCTCCTAATATACAGCATTTGCCAAAGCTCAGGACGCAGAAAGACAACATGGTCTTCCATTCCCATCTTGTCCTCACCTCAGCTATAGTTTGGGAGACTTGAGTTTTTAAGCACTGGTCCTGAGGGTCACTTCTGTCTTAGGCTAATCACAGTATGAATGAAGCTAGGTGTCATTAAGTAGTTTGATGAAGGACTGTTGAAGGCTTGGGTAATAGGAGTGGGAAAATGTTAGATCTTATAATTTTCTCTCTCCCTCTCTCTCTCTCTCTCTCTGTATTGGTGGTGGGGCTTGAACTCTGGGCTTGGGCACTGTCCCTGTGCTCTTCAGCTCAAGGCGAGTGCTCTATCGCTTGAGCCACAGTGCCACTTCCGGTTTTCTAGTGGTTTATTGGAGATAAGAGTCTCACAGAGTTTCCTGCCTGGGCTGTCTTTGAACCATGATCCTCAGCTCTCAGCCTCCTGAGTAGCTAAGATCACAGGCATGAGCTACTGGCAGCCAACAGATTTTATAATTCTCTTGACAAATCCAGCAGGCATGTGGTTTTGCACGTTGACAGCAAAAGTGCTACCCATCATTGGCAATGCTTTCAGAAGAGGAAATGGAATTCTTCCTGAATCTATTTGTGTATGTATGTGTGTGGTCCCTTTGTCACTGAGTGGGGAAGGGCGGCTGGGGGAATGACAAGGAGGTGGCTTCCGGGCAAATGGCTTGGCAGCACACTCAAAGTGCACTCAGCTTTGGGCTTCAAAGGAAATGAAACTAGCGTCAGTCCTCGATGAGCAAGCAGTGTAGACATCACTGGTCCCCAACTCTTGATGAATAGAAGGGATCCATGTAAGAGAAAATCAAGAGAGAGGGAACTGGCATCACTGGACCACTGGGGACCCGTGACAGGCCACTCAGAGAACCTGGAGTCTCTTTTTCACCCCAGGACTACTTAGAAATGCAGTTTCAGCTTCCAACCTGAAGAGTTTAGAAAAACTACAGGGTGGGGCCCAACGGGGGTGTTTAGCAAGCTGCCCACTTCACCCCAGTGTGCAGACCAGCTCGCGGCTCCTTGGCCAGGCATATAGTACATACTCATTTCACCCTCTTGGATCTTCAGAAGTAGATGTGACAGCTAACTGTGGAGGCATTTTGCCAGCGTTAAAGAATACCCCAATAACTGCGAATGTCTAGAGAGGGTTTCCCGAAGAGAAGGAATCTGAGTTGGTGAAGGGAGGAAAGATCAGCTGTGCGGGGAGGTGAGATGTCCGTCTTTGCCACCCCTGGGCTGTGGCTCTGCAGGTCCCAGGGTGTCGCACCCCAGAACTTACACCACCACCCCTGGGCTTGCACAGGGCATATGGTGGCACTTTATAACCGTCATAATCGCGTGAGCAATTCTAACTATAATTCCTTATAAATACATGCATGCTGCTAGTTATGTTTCTCTGAATAACCCTGATTAGTATGGCAGGTACAAGTCGCTATTCACCCATGAGAAAAGAAGACTCATGAAGCTCCTAAGTGCCACAGGTTTACACAGCTAGAAATAAAGGTACCAAAAGATACCCGCCTCTGGTGGGGATGTGGCTTAGCAGTAGAGCACTTGCATTCTATCCTCAGCAGTTCAAAAGCAAAAGGCACCAAAGCTGATTATTTTTCTACCTTGCCAGTGTTTCTCAAATGCTGACACGTAATCCAATCATTTGGCAATTGTGTTAAACTGTGGATTCTGAGTCCATAAATCTGGAGGGGCTGTCAGCCAGCTCTAATGAGCTCCCAGGTGTCACCAGCCCCTCTGAACACCAGCCCACTTTGAGCAGGAAGGCATCCTGCATTACTGTCTGGCCTCGCCCAGGCTCTTAGAGACCCAAGCATGTCAGTAATTCTTACAGCAGCTCTTGGCACGGAGCAGAGCAATCTCTTTTCAGAAGCCTCCAGGTGATGGGTTCAGCTTACATTTGAGAACCAACATCCATTTCCATATGGAAAAACTCATTCAAAGCCAGGCTAGGAAGCAAAGAGGTTCTTACATTACAGTTACTACAAAGTCATCAAAGGAAAAATGGGACAAGGGAAAAAGATATCACATTGTAGTCTGAGTAGTAACTTGCATGCAGTGTTTTTGGATGAGATAAAGATATAAAATGACCCATGCTGAGCACCACCCTTGAAGGCTTCTGAAAATGAACGTGGGATATAGAGCCAGTGGCATCAGCCGTGGGTGGGGCAGGGTAGGGACATCTGGGCAAAGGACACAGTGGTACGTGGACATGTAGGTCTGGCATGGCACAGGAGAGGAGTGCTTCTCCTTTTTCCCACAAACTATCTACCGGTGGAGGATGGTGGATGTTCATGTGATGTATACACATGGAGCTGGGAAGGCAGCTTGGGGTTTCTTGTTTTAATTGTGTGTAATCTTAAAAAAAACAACCATGCACACGTTCATCTATAGCAAACCAATACACTTTACTTTGGTATGAACACTGTATTTAGTTACCATTAAGATAAAAGGAGACACTGTTATGTGCAGTCTCATGCATCGAAGTGGAAAGATCACCCTCTTCTCCCCGCCCCCCAGATAGCAGGATCTGCATTGATTCAGCCTCTCTTCCTCTTGGTGCTGCAGACATTTGAAAACCAGACTCAGAATATGGGAAGGCAAGTGGCCCTTGGTCTGTCTGTGTTGTTAGGCGCTGTGCAAAGTATTGTTGAGGACAGGAGCCCAGGATGTCTTCTGAGTTGTTTTGAGCCCATGTCTGGGACGCTTGGGTTTGTGTTTTAAGAAGTTATATCTTTCAAGTAGATTTCAAAAACAGAGACAAAAGATCTTTGATCTATGCTTTAGATCCTTTTGAGTTTCAAGAAAATGCTCATCAAAGTATTTTCAGTAAAGAAAGCTGATGAAAGGTGTATGCGTGATACCACTCACTGTCATTTTCACTCCATGTAAATTAAGGGAGGGATGCCAGTGACTCAGTTTCTGCCATCAGATCTCAGCATCTAATACTTCATCAAAGGACTCACATCCTGGAGAGCCAGCTGAACAGAAAAGTCTGCAAGACTCTATCTCCAATTAATCAGCAAAACTTTGGGCTGTAGGTGTGGCTCAAGTAGTAGAGCACCATCCTTGAGCAAGAAAGCCAAGTGAAGTTGAGGCCCTGAGTTCAAGCCCCTAGGAGAGCCAGAAAGAAAAAGAGAGAGAGAGAGGAAGAGAGACTGCAAACAAGAGTGAGCATATGACAGCAGGGCTTGACCTCGAGTATTTGTAAAGAGTTTAGTACCAGGACAGCCAATTTTGTAGCATTCTATAACATTTTAATTAACTAAAGTTCTAAAATGACTCTCCTTCACCCCACCCCACCCCCAACAAGAAGAACAAACTGTCCACCTTCAAGGGCTGGTTAGGAAATTGCAGCTTTGAGTTCGTCAGAAGCTTGACCCAGCTTCGCAGGCCAAGGACAGAAGAATTCATGTTACAGAAATGCTAGCCAGCATCATCGTTCCCAGCCATTCCTGATCTTGCAAGTATTCTACTTGTAAGTTTTTACGGGAGGAAAAACAGCCCACACAGACAGCGGCCTGAGGACTGTGAATTCTGATCTCTTTGTATACATGTTACAAACCTTGTGTGCGTGCATGAGTGTGTGCGTGCATGAGTGAGATGCTGGGGATTAAACTGAGGGCCTCACACTTTCTAGACAAGCACTCATTTCTAACCCTTTTACTTTTATATTGTTTTTCAGATTCTCAATTTGGACTAGGCTAACCTTGAGCTATGATTCTCCTACTTATACCACCCAAGTAGCTGGAATTACCGGAGGGAGGGGAACTGCTACAGTTGGTGCGCTCTCTCTCTCTCTCTCTCTCTCTCTCTCTGTGCATAGGCTGCCTTTGAACAGAAATCCTCCTATCTCTGTAATCAAGTAGCTAAGAGTAAAGGTGTGTAACACCATGCCTGCTGACAAAATCTTTTGACAAGAGAAAGTCACTACTCCCCCCAAATAGCAGGGGAAAATACATTCCAAATTAATGACCTGAGATGATCCAGGAAGTACTTCCTTTGACCCCAGCTAAGCAACTCATGTCCTGGGAAGTCCCTTCTGGAGCATCTCTGTAGTACGTAGTGTGGCAAGGAGCAAGTGGTTTTGGAAGTAAAGGACTGTGGTTTGGGTTCTGTGTGCAGTTACATGGTACTTACTTTTTCCCTTGCCAGAGCATAATAATGACATCATAACGATTGCAAATGGAGAACTATCAGGATTTGGAGACATGTAAGAGGTGGTCTTTATCACAGTCTGCAATCCCCAGTCTCCCCCAGCCACCCACCCCAGAGAACACTGAACTGTTCAAGCCCTGTTTATATTCTCTATGAACGTGACAGTGTTATGTGGAAAATAATTTGGAATAATTCATACTGAATTATAAGTAACTGGTGGGTTTTGGTTTTAGGAACAGATTTTTTCTTCCAAGAGACTCTTGTCATGTGAGTAAAATTATTATAAAATGGAACAGTCAGGAAAAGTTCACAGATTATCAGAGAGCTTTGATGAAAAACCTTTTCTTCTGGGATGGGACAGAAGAGACGTCTCCCCATGATGTACAGCCCTGAAGCACCTCACCTCCAGAGACAGCTGTCTTCTGCTGTTGGCAGTGGGCACAGAATCCACCAGAGGCTCTGGTGCCAACAGGGGGACCGCGTGTTCAGCTCAGAAAGTACCAAAGATGGTATTGCCATGTGGATAAAGATGGCCCACACGCACCCCCGCCAATGGATTGTTCCTCTAGTTTCAATTCCTCCTTATTCCCTCTTGTCCCCTTTAGTGGCCAGGGTACCCCCCACTCCCAAGCATGGCTGGGCTTCTGCTGGACTTTAGACTCTATCAAGTTTAATGTGGCTCCTCTCCAGACAGAATGCAAAGCCATGGTTGGCCCATGGGCCTGTGAAAGATAAGAGAAAGGAGTTAGGTTTTTGTTTGGTGTGATATGGGGAATCAAGGTTATAATCAAAGCAATGAACTTTGATTCAGAGAGCAAAACTAAGCACGTAAAGATCAGTTGCTTTTGTGCTAGAGCTGATGAGAAAAGAAAACAAGGCAAGAGTTGTATTTACTTGTATAGTATTGAAAAATTGACACCAAGCCTAGTAGCTTTGTAGCAAGTGGTCTTTATGCCTGAAGGAAAATGTAAAATAATTGTTCATAGAAGTATAAAGGCCCTGTAATCATGGTATAACTGGGTCAGCAGCCTTGACTGGCATGATGTCCACAGTAGCTCACAAGTGGGTCACGTGGTTGTTTCTGTGTCACAGGGAATATCCTTGAGCAGAAGAGCTCACAGCCACTGCATTTTAATACTTCATTTTTCTCTGATGAATTTTCAATGGCACAAGTCAGCAGAGACGTTTTTCTTGTACATCTTGCCTATGGCCATGTTAGTAAACGACATGACTCTCTCCACTTCCAATTCCCCCACCACCTTTGTAGTCCACGCTCATGGAAACAATTCATTGAATGGCTGCCAAGGTGATGATCTGAGTCTGTGATGGGAGCTGGTGTCCTGAGCACAGAAGCCTCAGGAATGAGGGAGATGGGACAGTATTGCCCACTGCCTTGGTGGGTCATAAACTCAAGAAATGCAGAACAACCAAGAAAGTTTCCTTATAAGTTCTAGTGTTAATGACTTCATTTTATCATTTCACTGATAGCTAGTGAGCATTTGCAAAGCCATTAGCACAAAACAAATCTGATAATGAGAAAGAAGTAGGTGCAAAATGGCAATGAGAAGAAACATTTCAGAATTGACTGACGGTAATGGAGCAGCATTTGGAGACTTTAGCACTAGGGAGATTAAACTTTAATTCAAGTTACTTTTACATTACAGGAAAAGCTATGGAACATGTCTGAATCCAACAGGTTATATAGAAACCTTATTTTCAGAAAAAAGTAAGCTGAGTTTTAGCCTTTGTCTTCCTTTGTTGTCACAGACTGGTGACAAGAAGCTAGCTGATGGGAGACAGATAAGCAGCTTGGAAGGGTGACCCTCCGCCCAGGCCCTCAGGGCCTTTCCTGCTCAGAGACTTCAAAACTGGAAAGCTGTCTGTGTCCACACTTGGTGTGTGTCTCATTGCCCACACTGTCTGTGCAGCCTCTTGCTTTCTGCAAGTCTTCAGATATTTTTAGCTCAATTGTTTGAGGAAGACAGCAAATCCATCTTTAACTTTTTTTTCTCTTGTTTTATCAAACTTCGGAACAACACTAGATCCACAGGATTCATCGTGATTCCGGAGACAACTCCCAGACAGGTGAAAATCTTTCATGTTTGGTCTCTGTGTAGAAGACTTTGTGAGTTCAAGTCTATCAGTTGCTCTAAAGGTGATGAGGGTGACACTTGCCACCCAAGATTGGAGACAGCTAAGTGCTAATGTTGAGAGCCTAGAAAGGTAAAGAGAGGTAGGAAGCGGTTAAAAAGTACTCCATTCTTCATTGACAGTAACCTCTACTCGACGCCTCCCCACTGTGGTTTTCTTTTATTTTCATAGAGAAAATAAACCAACACAGTGAGAACTAGCATTCTAGGTAGACACTAGTAGGATAGAACACAGGAGAATATGGTGGTGGTTCAACCATAACCTTTTGTCCTCCATTGCCTTTTGGTAGTAGGTGGCTGACTTCAGAACTGGGAAGTGTGGCAAGGTAGCAGGTAAAGAAAGCCCCCTCCCCAGCTTCCCCTCATCATCTCAGACCTGTGGTGACACTGCCTGACCTTGCGTCAAGAAGCACTAGATGATTTTTACCTGTAGAAAGACCTGGAATTATCAGATCACTAGAGGATATTTGGATTTTGGCAATCAGCTCTGGAGCTGGTTCTCCTACCATCTATAGTGCCATTAGGCAATTCTTTTTATTAGATTACTATAATTTTATTATCTATAAGTAATTGGACAAAGAGATTTCAGTTCAACATGTTGATGAGTACAGTGCATCATGATCAATCACCCCTTTCATCGTTCTCCCGCCATCGCTCCCAGCCCCATCCATCCCTTCCATTTTCCTAGGTTCATTTTCATATATCTTCATATTGGAATAATATGACTGCCTTCTCCCACCATTCCGCTCTACGTATCTACTCCCCTACCCACATACACACCTCAAGTACCAGTTCCCTAGTATTCATTTTATTAGACTGTAAGTTATTTGTTCTTAAGAAACTATTGTTACCCACTTTTTCCCCCGGCTTAGAATGTGATCATATGATGGTGTCTGAGAAATGCATTCTTCCTGGCCCTCAATTGTCTTCCTCTTAGCATAGCCGTGACTGTTTCATGGTTACAACTCCCTCCTTGCTCGGGAGTTTCTCTCACAAGAAGCAAATACCCTGAAAATGTGTGTTGTCCAGGGTGACATGGCTGCCTTCACATTATGCATAGTGTTCACTGTGACATGTGATTTTATATTTCTGAGACAGAACATTTTCAATGTGAAGTTCAAAGTCGGCAAAGAGTTATGCAGAATTTTTTCAATGATTTTTTTCCTCCCCAGAAAATAAAGACACAGATTAGAGGTTAGCTGTTCTCTGCTCTTGCTATGATCAGCTGCTCTTACACATCATTGGGTGAAGTTTATCCTTAGTCACCCTGAAAGACTGTCTAGACGTCTGACTTTCCAAAAGTGCCCCCAAACTAGTCTGAATTTATTTCCCAAATAATATAAAATGTCTATGCATTTCACAAGGATTTTATTTCCTTAAATATCTCCAGAGGAGTTCTTCCCTTCCAGTTGAATAGGCTCCTTTAAGTCAAGGTGATCCCTGTAAAAAGTTCCGCTAAGTTTCAGCTTATTTTCAAAATGATATTCCACTTCTAGAATCAAATAATCCTTGATAATCTCCAGTTGCATGATATAATGAAGCAGCAGACAGCAAAACAATTTACGATTCACATGACTTCGATGACTTGAAGAGAAAGTAGTTTATTTCTCAAAATGGTTTTTCTGGTGTTTAAAAAGTAAACATGTTTCCTTTGGAAAACAAGTCATGGGTGACTACACAGATGTCTCATCCCCTTCCATTTCTAATGTGCAATCCACAGAGCCTCACTCATTCAGATACAAGAGCCGAAGGAAAGAGTCCATTGACGTCAAGTCCATATCATCTCGAAGCAGTGATGGTGAGAAGCTTTTTGTATTCCTTGACCTTTTAAGATGTAGAAAGTGACAGAGAAGTATACTTGAGAAGAGGAATATGTCCAGTACCTTCATCACATATAAACTCCAAAGTGGAAGATTTCAGTTAAATTGGATTTTTTCCAGTAACTAGACATGTTTTAGGGATTTTGAAAAGCATTTTTCAATGCTTGCTACAAACTTTCTCTTCTTAAAAGGGTTCCATGTGCCTTCATCACCTAAAGTATGTGGGCCACATAACCACACAGGCCCTGCAGTTTCAGTAGCCAGCCAAGGTCATTTTGGGGTGTGAGTAGCAAACCTTGGGGGTGATGGATTCATTGGGGGAGCAGTGTTTTGGCTTCCCAACTCCAATACACACCTGTTTCCAGCCTTTCTGCTACATGCACTTACGTTCTGTTAATGAAATGTCACAGACACTGTTGAGTCAGAATATAGCAAAACATTTCTTCCCTTCGTGGCAGAACTTAGCAATGCATATGTGGTCCTAGCCAAACCTGTAGGTCAGGAGGGAGTCAGAGAAAATAAGACATGGAGGAGAAAAGATCTCAGGTGAGCCATCCAAGTAGTATTGTACTCGGGTGAGCCATCCAAGTAGTATTGCATGAACCCAGAAGAGAGGGTATTGGGGAAAAGGGACAGCTAGAGTGTTAAATGCTAGAGATCAAAGGTTGAGAGCTGAGGTCAATCAGTAGGTTTCGCTTTCCATTTGGGTTTTTGTTTTTTGTTTTCTTTGTGGGGCTTGGGGTGGAACCCAGGGTATTGCACATTACTAGACAAACACTTTGCAACTGAGACACATCCCAGCCCTCTTTGGGTTTCCTTTGGTTTTCACTAGAAAGACAGGTTCTAAGGGTTGGGGGAGGAGAGGAGCTAGTGCCTGTGCGCTAAGTACAGAGGTAGGCTGATAACTTCAAGGCATAATGGGAAGGTCAAGTGAAGGACTTCCCAGCCTTTAGGTGGCAATGGGAAATATGAAAGAACTGGTTGAAATGGCAAAGACCGAAGATGACTGACACAATGTCAACAATTCCCAGAGCAAGGCAGTCTGACAGACATGGGGTGCGAGCCAGTGAGACTATAAGTATGAAGGAAAACAGATGGTAATATCATGAGGCACATTGAGGATACAGTTAAGCAGAACGGGAATGAGGAAACCTGAATGGTGGAGGTAGTGGTAGGAGATTTTGATGGACCGGCTGTAGAGGTGGGGGCACAAGAGAGGACAGCAATGGCTGCCACAGGGGCTCTACCTGGGATGGCTGAAACGGGGACTAACCCTCTCCCCCACTGGGGTGGGAAGAGGTTGATGAAAGCACCGCTCTTAAAGGAACACATCTACGATTTGAATCTTTGTCTTGTCTTTCTTTTCTCTTTCTTTCCTTCCTTCTTTCTTTCTTTCTTTTCTTTTTGTCAGTCATGGGGCTTGAATTCAGGTCCTGGGCACTGTCCCTGAACTCTTGCTCAAGGCTAATGCTCTACCACTTTGTGCCACAGTGCCACTGCTAGTTTTTGAGTGGTTAATTGGAGATAAGAGTCTCATGGAGACTTTTCTGCCTGGGCTGGCTTCAAACCATGATCCTCAGATCTCAGCTTCTTGAGTTAAGCTAGGATTACAGGAATGATCCATGGACACCTGGCTCTATTTGAATCTTTAATCATCTGTAAGCATTAGCATTCCAAGAAGTAAAATCCTTTAAAAATGCATGTTTCTACAGATTGGAGCTAGCACCATAAGTTCTGAATATTACAGACCTACAGGCTCAGGAAGAAGGCGTGGTTGGCCCCAGTTCACTGAGTCTTCTATATATGAACATGGAAACTCCTCCCACTCTGCTCAGGTAGCTGGCCAATGGCCAGCAGGATAGTAATAAAGGCCAAGGAATTGCCTAAAGGGGCTTTTTGGTGGCCTGTGGCCCAGGAAGTCCTAGGGATGGCTAGGCAGCTTTGTAGGAACAAGAGATATGCTTTGGGAGGAGAGGGAAGTCTTGGGAGAATCAGGTCCCCAGCTGTGAAAGGACTAAGCTGCACTTAGCCAAAGCTGAGCCACCAGAACTAAACATGACTCTCTCACCTTCAGCACCAAGCCTACAGAACCGCCGCTATCCCTCCATGGCAAGGATCCACTCCATGACCATCGAAGCCCCCATCACGAAGGTGAGCAACAGCTGCCATCTCCATCCTGCAGTGAGGACCCTCGGCCCGCCTGGGCAGGGTTCTGGAGCTGCATTCGGCTGGTCTCATGTATTTCAGTCTAGTGGGAAAAACAGAACTAAATCAATTAACAGAAAATACATAAGTGTAGAATCACTAAGTAGAGGAAATGTTATAAAGGAAAACCCACGGCTCCATGAGACCAATGAGAGTAGGGGCTAGATATAGTTTGTATGAGAGACTGGTCAGGGAAGGTAACGCTGTAGAGGAAATAATGTTTGCATGAAAACTTGAAGCCCAAGAAGCATGCTGGTCAGAAGAGGTCTGTGGGGGAGCTGAAACAGCACTGGATGCTTTGCCATGTGACCTGGAAGGAAGCCAGAGAGGCTGGTGTATGGCCGGCAGAAGGGAGATATGGTAGGGCTCATGTCATTGTGATCAGTTGGGTAATAGTGAGGGATTTGTGTCTTAGTTTACATGCAGCAGAAACCATTGAAGATTTTAAAGTTAGGGGTGACATGATCTGACAACTGTGTCACAGAAAAATAAATGCCCAGCTGTTGTGCATATGGTGTGAGTCTAAGAAAACAAGCCAATCAAAACTTTTCTGTAATTCCAGGCCCCTGCACAAAAGTGGTGGTGACTGAGCTTGCATTAATGCAGTGGCAGTGGAAGAGACCTGGAGATATTTAGGGAGAGACTCAGCTGGGCTCTTTGAGAGAGTGGGAGAGGAGTGAGGGAAAGCAGTGTGTCAGGCAGGCAGGTGGTGGAAAGTTCTAGAAAAGCTTTCATCTTTGGTTCTGTTATTGTTGCTGCAGTTGCTGTTCAGTGTCCTGCTTTGTAGGAAGGAGAACCAGCCTGTATGTTTAGCTTTGGACTCTCCGGTCAGTAGGTCAGGTTAGCCTGAAGGTGAGTTTGGGAGTCTGGAATGGATTATATGCGTCCAGAGTCATGGAAACAAAAGTGTTATTTCTGGAAGGACCATAGAATAAGAGACAGACTCAGAACTATCTCTGAGAAACTCCAACCTGTGGAAAGGAGCTGGAGGAGAAGGTCACCAAAGGAGCCTGGGAGACATGGGCAGGAGGACACGGGACAGCATAGGCTGCCGAGTGCAGCTGTGAGACCGTGGCAGTGCCCTTTGAGCAACGAAGTGTGTGATCACCCACTTTCTTTTGGGCTCCCAGCATATCCATGACTTCAGCGGATTGGCATCCCAATCTCTCAATTTTACTCTTTTTTTTACTTCCAAAGGTTATAAATATAATCAACGCAGCCCAAGAAAACAGCCCAGTCACAGTGGCAGAAGCCTTAGACAGGGTTCTAGAAATTTTACGGACCACAGAACTGTACTCCCCGCAGCTGGGTACCAAAGATGAAGATCCACACACCAGTGATCTCGTGGGAGGCCTGATGACGGTGAGTGATGAGATAAACCCAGAAATGTCCAGTGGAGTCCCTCTCGAAGGCAAACCGATGTGATTTAGAGATGGCTGTCGAATAGATAAACACCAGTATAGCCAGAGGCAGCTCCATCCATTTCTGTAATGTATGTGTGATGGTATTCGAGTGACTCTTGCATTTATCTTTCTATGAAACTGACTGACCCCCACAGTGGGAGACAGACCTACTGCAAGTGATTGGGGCTGTGTATGCAAGGTGGAGTTGTACAGGGCCTCCTTTGCTACTTCTTCCCCTCGACCTTGTTGAACTCGTAGATTGAGGATGACAGCTGTCTGTAGCCCTCAGGCTCTACACAAGTGGCCCTCTGAATCTATAGGTTCTGCATCTGTGGATTCACCAATCACAGATCAAAAATACAAAACAAAGAAGAAAAAGAAATTTCTGCACCACTACTGAATATTACAGAATTTTTGTCATTAGTTCCTGAACAATGCAGCTATTAACATAGTGGGGTTTTTTTTTTTTGCATTGAATTAGACATAAAATGCAAGGATGATCTAAAATATGCAGAAGGATTTGCATTGGTTATATGCACATTCCATGACATTCATATACAAGTGACTTGACCATCTTAGTATCCAAGGTTGAGCCTGGATTATACAGGATGCCAAGCAATGTTCTTAGTCGGCAGCATTGTCCAATTTTTAGATATAGAATCCTTCCTATATATAAAAGTTTAAGTCAGAGTTCTACCTAAAACTGGAGCCATTCTGGCTCAGAGGGGGAAAGTGGATGAGGGCCACCCCTTGCCAACTGCGAGACCCACCACATGTATGGAGAGCTGATGTCTGAGAACTCGCCCTGTTCTAGTTTTTTGCTGTACTCTATTTGGTTTTAAGCATCATCCACAAGCCAAGTGATGACAAAGAAGAAAAGTGAAATGACTCATAAAAGTCAAATTATTTATTTGGGTTTCTTATTAAAGGTTAAAACTAGATTTTTTTTAAGAAGAAAAAGTCCAAGAGTCACCCAAGAGTTAGTTCTACTTGGAAGGTTTCTGTCTAGTTCTGTTTCCTAAAGCTGAGTGTTGACTGGTTTTCCAGTCGCTTCTGATCCTTTCTGTTCCTCGGTTGCCGTATTCCCAATGCAGCATAGGTTCAGCTCTTGAGACCACTGGTGAAAGGCTAGGACAAGTGGGGGCTTTGTAGTGCTGTGGCTCAGGAACACTGGCTCCAAGGAAAGCACCGCTGCCCTGCCCACCATGCCACCATCCATTGGATTCCTGTCCAAATAATGCTGTGAGGGCCCGGTGTGAGGCTCCACTTCATTTTTATGTGACAATAGGAAGTGGAGGGAGAAGGGCAAAATAAAAACAGGGGATTGCTATTTTGCTATTTCTACCTTAAAAGCAGGAGAATTGGCTGTGGTTACTTACCTTTTTTTTTTTTTTTTTTTTTTTTTAAGATTAGCTCTTGGCTTAAAGATCCAAAACATGACTTCTTTCCCTGGCTTTATTAATACTTCTTTAAACCTTAGCCCACATTTTCTGAGGACATCATGCATTTTTAAATGTCTTTTAAGCAAAGATTTAAATAATGAAACACTCAAGGATAGAAGGTGGAGGCAAGGAAACAGATTCAAAAGCGTCTGGGGCTGGGTTCACGTTTAAGAGCCTGAAATTAGCAGAATACTGGAATTCTATCTACTCTTACTCTGCCTCCTCAGACTTCACATCCAGAATTTTTTTTCTTTAGAAAGCTAGTAGCAATGCTCATGTATAAAACAGAAAATGTGGTTGAAAAGAATTCGGTATAGATATTAGCTTACAGTTAGCCCAGTTTTTAAAAGACGATTTTACCAAGTTATCCCCATACGTGGCATGTGGCTTTGATGCTTCCCAAGGTCAACCTGAGGACCTAAGGGGCCCACCCCTTTGAGGGATTGCATCCGAATTTTGTACATCCAAAGCAAGATTGCTTCTGCAATTTCACTTTGGTGGCTTTAAAATGCTAGAAGAGACTGTTGCCGGGAGAATACAGCCAACTTGCCGCTCAGGTATGAGCCTGCACGTGGCTGTATCCACTGTGGACCAGGTTCCCCTCCTCCTGCAACTAGCAGCCATTACGGGAGAGTAGCATCTGTCTCATAGCTATTGCTCTGAGTTAACTTGGAGTTGGAGGTTGAAGGGGTTGTTTGGGATTTGAACTCTGGCTAATGAAAGAAACGAGAGAAGGAATGACTATATGTAAAGTATGCTTCTAACAATATCTGTCTTTATTCCAGGATGGCTTGAGAAGGTTGTCAGGAAATGAGTATGTGTTTACAAAGAGTAAGTTTTCATCTGTCACCTGTTTCTGATTGTCTCCAGTCTGGGCCACACCCAGATTATGACTGTGGCTCAGGAAAGGCTTTGGTGCTTTCATTGAGTTTAGCATCTCTGTGATTGACATTTGAAACTGCAGCTTCTGATTAAAATTGCTTCTCTGAGCACAATTAGTATAACTCTGTAGGATTGAGTGTGATGGTTGGTACACAGCAGTAATCCCAGCTACTTGGGAAGCGTATGTAAGAGGATCAAGGTTTGAGGCCAGCCCTAGGCTAAAAACATTATGTGAAAAATAAAGCAGCATGGTAGATCACTTGATTAGCAAGTATGAGGCCTGGAGTTCAAACTTGAGTGTTGCAAAAAGAAAAGGAAAGAATATGGTCTTAAGGTTTTATAAGAGTAGAACCTCAGCGCGACCATCCCTCTACCTGTGGAAGTTCAAGACTTCCTAGTGGGGCAGAAGTGGGGAGGCCATGTCTGTAATCCCAGCTACTCTGGATGCAGAGACAGCATCTCAGTCACAGTCTAGCCCAGGCAAAAGCTAGAGACCCTATCTGAAAACTGAAAGCACAAGGACTGGGGCTAGGACTCAAGTGGTGGAGCGCTAGGCCCTGAGTTCAGCCCACAGTACGGCACACAGGTGCAAACATTTTTTTCTAGTGGCAATGCTTAGGGACATTCAGTTTCAGAACTCACCGGCCTCCCCCACCCTCTCCCACCTTTTCTATTTGCTCAGATGTGCATCAGAGTCACAGTCACCTTGCCATGCCAGTAACCATCAACGACGTGCCACCTTCTATTGCCCAGTTACTTGATAATGAGGAAAGCTGGGATTTCAACATCTTTGAACTGGAAGCAGTTACACATAAAAGGTATGAGACATCTCTGATCACAGTCAGGCCTGAGGCCTTCACAGTAGGAAACTTGGAGGGAGTTTGTTGTTGTTGTTATTATTGTTGTTGTTTTTACTTTTGCCAGTCCTGGGCCTTGAACTCAGGGCCTGGGTACTGTCCCTGAGCCTCTCTGTGCTCAAAGCTAGTACTCTACCACTTGAGCCACAGTGCCACTTTCAGCTTTTTCTGCTTATGTGGTACTCAGGAATCCAACCTAGGGCTTCATGCATACTAGGCAAGCACTCTACTGCTAAGCCACATTCCCAGCCCACTTGGAGGGAGTTTTGTGCCTCAAGCTAGCTCCTTTATGGAGAGGGAGTTGTCCTGGCTGACATTGGATCACTTTGTATGTCCTGTCATATCCTAGTTTGGATACTCCTTTGTGCTAGTAAGCAAAGAGTTTCAAGTTTTCTTATCTCAAAATTTGTTGAAGCTTTACCTACAAAATAAATTCAAAGCAGGGATAGGTGGTGCATATCCATAGTTCCAGCTACTTGGGAAACTGAGGCAGGATGATTGTGTAAGCCAAGCAGTTTAGAGCCATCATGGGCAACATAGTGAGACCTCATCTCCCCCACGGGGAAGCTTTGAAAGTAGCAGCAATATTTCCTTGAATTTGTCCTGTCAGCTGGGGACACATGAGACAAGTCGAAGGATCTCTTGTATATTCGAAGCCATTTCTGCTGAGGAGTTAGCCTGTGGGTATGAATGATACCTGTAAATATGAAACATGACTCTAAATGGTGTGACTTCACTTTTGCCCAGAGAAGTTCTCTGGGCAAGTGAATTCAGTAAACCAGGATTCATTTTCCTATTTTGCAGGCCATTAGTTTACCTGGGTTTAAAGGTCTTCTCCCGGTTTGGAGTATGCGAATTTCTAAACTGTACTGAAACTACTCTTCGGGCCTGGCTACAAGTGATTGAAGCCAACTACCATTCCTCCAATGCCTACCATAACTCCACTCATGCCGCAGACGTCCTGCACGCCACCGCCTTCTTCCTTGGAAAGGAAAGAGTGAAGGTAGAGTTCCCGGATCATGATCTAACAGCCATCTGGCTTGAAGATCCAAGAGATAATGTAATAAATGCATTTGGTGGAGAGCTACTTTCACAACCAACTTTCACAAGCATTTTTGTTTGTTTCTTTGTTGTTTTTCTAACCAAATTGGTTACTTTGGTATTATAAAGACCTAGACCTTTCTTTTAAACCCCCTCCTCAAATGCATACATACTAATTTATGCAACTCCAGAGACTCCTGTATATGAGCCCATGATGCGATAGTTCAGGAGCTTGGTGAAACTGGGCTGCAGGGCAGAATTGTTATAGCACAAAGAGATTAGGTCTTGCGTTTAAATATGGCCTTCGGTAGAGTGCAATCCTGATCATAGTAAGCCAGCCAGCCGCTACTGACTTATGCGCATTTATGTGTGTAGGTGTGAGGTGTGTGTGTGTCTAACTTTTGCCTAATTGGGAAAGTGTCCCATATCTTTTAGTCTTAGTCCCATGTCGTCATCGTGCATAGCAGGGCTGATTTGAAGGGTAGCCACGTACTCTTGTATTACTGAGCTGGCACAAGGTCCCATGGCCGTTTCTTCAGTTGTAGTTAAGCTTGTAATTCCTTTGCTAAAATTACAACTGAAGCTTAAATTTTAGGGCTGCAATGTGACTTAGTGGTAGGATGCCTGCCTAGCTCATGCAAGGCCCTGGGTTTGATCCCTAGCACCACAAAGATAAAATGCAGATACTCTTGGTACTGTCTGGATATTGAAATTACTATTAGCTTGTGAACACAAGGTTTCATTTTCTTGGCAGAAGTCTGATGAGGGATACGATCTTGGGATCTTAAGATGAGGAGACATTGGAACAGGTCAAAGGAGTAGAAATGATCCCAAAAGTGAGGTGGAAGAATTCCTTCTCATTATTGCCAGGGTCATCCAGTTATTTCAGCAAGAAAGCAAAGCATCGGGTGCAGGCGTGATGCTTTTGAAGGTGCTTTGAGGTCTTATTTTTTGTTTTCTAATTTGAAGAAATTAACAGCTTTAGCCTGGGTCTGTGACACCTCTCTGAGATACAGCGCCTCTGCATCCCTGCCATGAGCTCTGCTTGTCTATTCCACTGGGTGAAATTACTCAGATGAGGTCTCACCACCAGCTGAGAATGCCACCAGGTGATTAGCGCCAAGACCAGAGGGAGGCCTGCCCCTCCGCCACCCTCCCTGAATTAGAGCCTCTCTAGGAAAACTCACATGCAATGTGCAATAAATTAGGGACCACTTAGTCTTGCCATTTTCTCTCTGCCTATCCCTTCTCTAAAATAAGCATGTCCCTGAACTTGAGTTCAGCTCATGCATTTGGGGTCTAACTGAATTTCTCAAACAACAGCCCTCGAAAGGTGTCGACGTAAGACTAGATATAATGTTTGCATTCGTATTCTGGCACCTGTTAGAGATTCTGAAAGTATACAGCTGGGGCTGTTAGGAACTCCTGAGTTGAGAGAGTCAGAAGTTCACCAGCCCAAATTCAGATTAGTCTACTCAGAGGTACTTTTGGCTCTCTCCTGAGGCCTCTTCCCGCAGACCTGCCACCGCAGACTAATAGGGCCAAGAGATTGTATTCCAATCTCTTCTGTGCATCACCTGCCCCTCTAAATCCTCCAGGATAAGGTTTGCATGTGCTCACACATATGTGCATGTAGGAAGGGACCTGAGGACCTCACACATCATAAGCACATGCTGTACCACTAAGCTGCTCCCAAGCGCCACGAATACAAAACAGCCTCAACCCAACATAGAGACAGTGGGCCAGAGCAGACAGGCCCTTGAGGTTCTATAGACCTCGTGCTCTTTCCGCCAGTCTTAGCAGATGCATGGTACTCACAGTGAACAGCAAGGCCAGGACAGCCAGAACTGCTCTTTAGTGATTTAGGCCTGAGTGACTATCCTAAATAAGAAAGTGAAAGGCTGACCCACCCCAGAGCCAGTCTTCCTCAGCATGACCCAAACCTACTCAGGTTAAAGCAATTAAAAAGAAAAAATGCAGAGATGTTCAAGCTGAAGGTTTGTGGGGGTTTCTTCCACAGACCATCTCGCACTATGCACATGCACACACACACACACACACACACACACACACGTACATGCATTTCTTCTCTCCTTGCTCTAGGCTTACTAAGTCCTCTTTCCCCATCTCCCAGCCACTTCCTACCAGCCAGAGCCGGACTAGTGCTCACTGAATTGCAGGAATTGGTCCATTATTGGTACCTTTGGAAAAGTGCCATTGTCACTGAGATGTTGGGTTGAATCAGGTCTCATTTAGTACCATTTGTACTCCCTACCCATTCTCTTGAATCTTCCATTGAATAGTTTAAAAATAGTTTGAGTAGTTCAAAAATAATTTGGCTTGAGACGTCTAGGAGGGCCAGACCTATTTCAGAGCATGAGCTAGAAGCCTAGGGCTCCCTGGGTCCTCACCCCCGGGTGGGGTAACCAAAGGTGGGGCCCAACTCATCCTAGCTCTGGGCCCTGTGCTCCAGGCAGCTGCGTGCCTGCCGTTACCTGGCCTCTCCAACAGCAGTGAAGAGGGCTAATCATGCTCTTTTGCCCTGCCCACTCACTATGGTTCTCCATCTTGACAAGAGCTGAAAAGAATAATATTTTGCTGTTTCTCATGAAGCTTAGTCCTGTTGACAGAGGCCAAGCCAGAATTGTTCAGCAGTTCCACAAGGTGAAGGTTCAAAATAGAAAAGACTCCATCTGAGGGGCCATAGAGTTTCCAGGCAAAAACCTACTATAACCCTAACCCAACACAAGCAGCTGCAGCCCAGAGCGGGGCCAATGTGTGAGGACAGGTCTGAGCTTCAGGTTCAGCCTTTCTCACCCCAAAGCAGTTTTTCCTTCAAGCCTGTGCAGAAGAGGAAGTTTGGGAATACCGTAAGCCCCGCCCCACCCTCTAGCCTCATTCACTTCTCCCTTGGTCATTGCTCTGAAGCCACACATTACTCTCTAGGATTCCTGGATAAAGCTCTTGTGCTTATTTTCTCTCAGGAGCTTCACCTGGGCTTTTCTTTCTGCCTGGGCTTCTCTTCCTTGCCACCTGGTGCCTGACTACTGTCTGCTTATCCTTTATATTTCAGCATAAAAATCACTTCCTTAGAGAAATTATCCCTGTCCACACTCCAGCAGTCGTTTCCACTTTAGCAGTCATTAGCCACACATTAAAACATTAAAACGAGCCAGGCGTCAGCGGACCACGCCTATAATCCTAGCTACTCAGGAGGCTGAGATCTGAGGATAGGGCTTCAAAGCCAGACTCGGCAGGAAAGTCCATGAGACTATTATCTCCAATAAGCCACTCAGAAAACTGGAAGTGGCATGATGGCTCAAGTGGTAGAGCGCTCGCCTTGAGCTGAATAGCTGAGGGACAGCACCTAGGCCCAGAATTCAAGCCCCACGACCAACAAAACAAAACAAAAAAACACACACAAAAAAAACCATTAAAACTAAATAAAATTAGCTGGGTGCTGATGGTTCACACCTGTAATCCTAGCTACTCAGGAAGCTGAGATATGAGGATTGCAGTTTGAAGCCAGCCTGGGCAGGAAAATCTGTGATTCTTATCTCCAATTAACCATGAAAAAGTTGGAAGGGGAGCTGTGGGTCCAGTGGTAGAGTGCTAGCCTTGAACAAAAGAAAGGTCAGGAATAGCGCCCATGCCCAGAGTTTAAGCCCCAGAACTCACATACACACAAACACACACACACAAACACACACACATAAACAAACAAAAAAACATTTAGTTCCTCCATTGTACTGGTCACATTCTTGAGTCCAGTAGCTACAGGTGAATCTGAATTAACTGTTGTAGGTAATGCAACCATGACATACACCATAATTATTGATGGTAAGACCCCAAACTAGACCAGTCCAGTGTTTCTACTCTCAAAGAACATATACATTACTGCTCAGCCAGCTCACTATATTACTTCTATCTGTACATTTAAAATTTTTTTGTTTCTCCCTCCAGATTATAAGCTCCATTAATACAGAATCTGTCAGCATGAATCATTCCTGTAGCTCAAACCCTGTGAATAACTGGTACCCATAGCATCTAATAAACAAATTCATAGTACACTATGTGACAGAAGCTCTTTTTCTCTCCTAAAGCTGTAGGCTAAGAAAACATGTATCTTCAGATGTTCTCCTTTGAGTTCTTTATTTGCATAATGAAAGCTTTACAGTTTTCCTTTCTGCCTTTGCAGGCTGCTAGCTCAGCCCCCTTATCCTTTTTTCCAGGTAAAATAATTCTTTTTTACAGCTGAGTTCTAATCATCCGACCGGGTGAATGAACTCTGGAGAGGGCTAGGCAACCGCTATAATTCCATTTCTCCTCAGAAAATACACAGCAGAGAAAGGGATAGATACTGTTTGTCCAAGGACACCGTTCACCTCTGAAAATTGCAATGTTCTCTCCTACCCTTCCAACTTCTTCTACACTTCTTCTCCAGAGACATACTGGACATACTGCCTAAACTTGCCTCCTTTATCCCAGGGAAGCCTTGACCAGCTGGATGAGGTAGCAGCCCTGATTGCTGCCACAGTCCATGACGTAGATCACCCAGGACGGACCAACTCCTTCCTGTGCAATGCCGGCAGTGAGCTTGCTGTGCTCTACAATGACACTGCAGTCTTGGAGAGTCACCACACAGCCTTGGCCTTCCAGCTCACAGTCAAGGACACCAAGTGCAACATTTTCAAGAATATTGACAGGTTTGTTGGTCTTGGCTCCTGTGCTCAAGGGGAAATTCCATTTCTCCTGGCTTCTCTGAATACTCCGGGGGAAATCAAAGTGTCAGGGTAGTTGTACCACTGCATTGGATGAGAAAATAATGACCTTGCCCTAGCAAACTTAATTTTATTGTTCAGACTGCCTTTGTGGTTTTAAATCTCATTTCATCTTTGATAAGTTCATGAAAATGTTTTAAATACTGCAAAACACTGCATAAAGATTGACTGTATGATTAAGAAACCTAGCAGATATTTTTACTCTCCCAGGAGATGAGTCTGTCCTTTGGGTGGCTCAAAGGAAACCTCCACTCCTGTCTTTCCAGCCCAGTTTTGGTTACTTAACACATTTCATCATGAGGAGGTTCCAGCAACGGTGATAGAGCCAAAGGCAAGGCAGGGTTCAGTCTCACTGGGCCCTCTCTTCTGCTGAGACCTGGCCGGGTATGACCAGACATGGAGTTACTGCCAGCAACTCTGTGATCAGACTGCAGGTATCTTGCTAACAGCACCAGCCAGCTGCTAGGCAGAGGCCTGGAAGGGACCCAGGAATTCAACTGGATCTTAGGACAGATTGTTTGGACCTATTGTTTGGTGTCTAGACATCTAGAAAAACATGGAGACCTGATATGGCAGATTCAGCTTAAGCTTCATCAAGTATCAAGGATTGGTTTTAAACTTGTGCCGAAATAATTCTTCCCAATTGCCAATTTTACTCAACATCTCATTCTTGCTCTTGAAGTTAGAAAATGGCAGGAATTGGCCAGTAATTGTGGGTGGTTGTTCCATCCACCTCAAGGTCTAACAGTCGCAAGCTAGAAAATTACAAACAAGAAAAACTTCCTCCGCAGCTGTAAGACATTGTGAGTTCTCAGCAGCAGGACTCTGTCTGTATGGAATGTACTAGATGGTTCATCAGGCTGCCATCCCAGCCTGTCCTTCATCTTGTGTCCTTCTCCATCTCCATGTTCCTAAGGGTCAGGGCAAGGGAATTGCCTTGTAAAGTGAGTGTTCACCATGTGACAAATACTTTAGCACTCCTAATTCAGTGTCAGATGTCACTAGGATGATGGAATCGCATCTCCAATACTGCTTTATTGAGAGAATAGGCAGGTGGACTTTGCACTCATTTAACTCTGCCCCAGCTCATCCTGGGTTGAGTAAGAAGCATGACGAAACGGCAGTAAAACAGTTCTAATTCTGGACATGATGTGAACAAAGTCCTTTGTGTTCTGGTTATTTTAGGAACCATTATCGAACACTGCGCCAGGCTATTATTGACATGGTTTTGGCAACGGAGATGACAAAACACTTTGAACATGTGAACAAGTTTGTGAACAGCATCAACAAGCCAATGGCAGCTGAGGTAAGCACCCCCATGTAATAAGATACATCAAGTGTATTTCCATGAGCATCCACACTGGAAGCAAATTCCCCTCTTGGTGCAAGGAAGCTGGCAAAGGGCTGCAAGTCCTGGTGACTTGTTTTTCTTAGGAGAATAGATTGGCAGAGGCCACAGAAACTTGAGCTCCTTGAAGAAAAGGCCCTGAGATAAAGTGAAGAGTGACAGGAGGAGTTGGGCCCAGGAAATCCAATGGAAAGAACACAAATGATTTAGGAAATCAAACGCCTTTTTAATTCTGGAGCTCATATCTCTTGGAAGTTTTTTTTGAGGTGGTTGTTGTTGTTGCTATTGGGGCTTGAACTCAGAGCCTAGGCATTGTCCCTGAGCTTTGTGCTGAAGGCTAGTACTCTATCATTTTGAGCCACCATGCCAGTTCTGAAGTTCCTATCTTTATGGTTAATGACCTATCTAGGTGAAAAAACTGTGTCCACTTCACCTCTGCTGAGCCTCATCTCCCATACCATCCACAGATACCACCATACAGCTCAAGGCCCTATTCTCCAACAATGGACTAGAGGTAGCAGCTATCTGGGATTTAGAGAGTGGGAAACCTATACAGAATGAAACAATTTGGAATTGAGATATTCTATTCAAGCTATTCTATTCAACTCTGTTGATACTATGTTTGCCACAATATCTGTAGCAAACTTTTATCTTTCAATGCTCAACAACCAAGACAAACAACCTTCAGAATATATGTTGCCTATCAGTGATCTAGTAAATAAGACCACTCTCAAAAACTGCTTAAATGTCAAGCCATCTTCAGCTTGGCAGAGCTTTGAAGAGCTAATTGTTTTTATGCAAATCCAATCAATGGTGCCTTTGCAAATGGGGAATCGTTTTCTAGGCTTGGTGTAGTTAGTTCCGATTGCACATAGATCACCTACTTATAGACCTGCCCACAAGCCTCCGGACCACAGAGGTATGTGCACATCACAGGAATGACTCAGTGTATGACCACATGCCAATGTCATTGAACAGATGTTCTCTTTCCTTGTCCCCAAGCTTACCTGGCTCACATTCCCCTCCAGTGAGGTAGTCCAGGAAACACATGCCCTTAAGAAACAGCAGGTGGGGGTGGGCCAGAAGGTCCCAGGAGAATGACTGGTGAGTGGGAGCACAAAAGTATAATGAGAAAATGCCACATGTATGTGCAATATCCTCACTTTTAAAGCCTCTATGTATCTAAAAGTTCTGCTTTCACACAAAGCAAAGGAAAGCCTTCCTTAGAGGTGACCTGCAGCACTGCCTGCAGTTGTTCTGTCTGAGGAAAAAGGGTAGAAGGGGGTAGATGGGTGGCGACAGACCCCTTTTCCTTCCAAACTATATATTGTATTGAGGGTTTTTTTTTTTAATGTATCAACATATTATATACACCAAGGGAAAGAAACCGCCTTGCTTCCTGAGTGCTGGCCACACCTAAAGTACCTGGTGAGGAAATCTGTGGGCTGCACACCACCAGTCCTGATCTGATCATCTGTCTTCCAGATTGAGGGCAGTGACTGCGAATGCAATCCTACTGGGAAGAACTTCCCTGAAAACCAAATCTTGATCAAGCGCATGATGATTAAGTGTGCAGATGTGGCTAACCCATGCCGACCCTTGGACCTGTGCATTGAATGGGCTGGGAGGATCTCCGAGGAGTATTTTGCACAGGTGCGTTGCCTCTAGGGAGGTCTCACTTTCCTTCTAGTAAGGCACCAAGTCACAGAAATGAGTGGGTGCTCCAGATGGGTAGCTTCTCACCACCAAGCAAGCAGCTCACACTGCCTGGAGCAGACTCCCGCTTCCCTCAAGGGACCAGCCGATATGCTGGTCACCGACCAAGGTCTTCTAGGGGAAGACTGAGCCTTTAGAAGTAAATTGTCGGGTCTGGGAAGGTGGCTCAGCGATAGAGTGCTTGCCTCGCATACATGAGGCCCTGGGTCCTATTCCTCAGCACCACATAAACAGAAAAAGCCAGAAGTGGCGCTGTGGCTCAAGTGGTAGAGCGCTAGCCTTGAGCTGAAGAGCTGAGTGGCACTGTCCAGGTCCAGAGTTCAAGACCCATGACTGACAAAAAAAAAAAAAAAAAAGAAGTGAATTGTCATATTCAAATTGCTGAAAGCTGAACTTCCACAGGAACTAGGAAGTACCCCCATACATTAGGTCACAAGTTAGTGTTTCCCTGGTGCATTATGGGAAAATAGACATGAATAAGCCACATCCTTGCCCAGAAGTAATTCACAATCCAGTTGGGGATGGAAGATGTGGACAGATAGGTCCATGTTGGTTTAAAAAAAAGAAGGTATGTGTAAAGAAGTGTATATGTTAAATACTACAGGAATTAACAGACAAGAGGAGGGGTTAATGGAAAGTTTTAGCAACGTTTCTGGGAAAACAAGGCATTTTGAAGCAACATTCCTAAAGACAGAGACTAGAATTTTTAGCAATATGCATTTTATTTTAACAGTGGCAGTGAAAAGAGGCATGAAAGGTGGCATGTCAGATGCCATCTGAAATATAGCCCTACTTCCAGAAAAAAGGCTCTAAGGACTGGTTGTGTGTGTGTGTGTGTGTGTGTGTGTGTGTGTGTGTGTGTGAATCAGAAGACAGCAGATAGCATCAAGTGATTCGTAAGCTGGAGAGGGGTGTTGGGACTGGAATATAGTACTAACACAGGATAAAGAATAGCTGGCCAGCAGAGAACTCAAGAGAGTTAACTGAGACTTTCAAAGCTAGGGAGGAGTCCCTAAATTGAGGAAAAATAGGACAGGCAGTTCTGAGTTTGACAGCAGAGGAGAGAAAACCAAGAAAACCTTAAACACTAGTGGGTATTTTAAGGCTACTCAATCAACTGAGCAAGCCGAACCAAAAGCTGGTAGGAGGCCATTAGTGGGCTTCCCAGGACCCACATGGAGAGAACTTGAGTACTGCATCTAGTTACTCCCAGTGTGTGGTGGGGAATGGGGGAGAGCCGGTCTTAAGTTCTCATAAGCTTCCAAGTTAGGCATCCTTTTCCCTGAGAGGGGTGACCTAAAATTCAAAAGGTTACAAATGAAGCCTCTTCTCAGCTCAACACACCATCAGGAAAAGGGGATCTTACTAGTCAGCTTGGTCTTGTACACATGAACCTACACGCTCATGTGCTTAGCACATTGCTACATACCTTGAGAGCTGCAAGGCTAATACTCACATCCAAACAAATGTATGTCATTCTTTCAAGTAAAAAAGAAGCAAGTTCAGTTCACAACTCAATTGATCAGCTGCTAAATCCGGAGAAAACAGTCAGATTCTGGCATACAACACAGGGCTTTCTGAGTATTTCCCATTTCGTCACACAGATTGTCAAAAGACATATTCTCTAAGGTGAGGATTTAATCGAAGTTAATCTCATGAGTTCCTATTCGTGTGGCTCAAATGGCACAGGGCCAGCCATGAGTGAAAAAGCAGAGTGGGAGTGCAACATCCTGTGATTAAGCCCCATGTGTGCAAGCGTGCGTGCGCGTGCACACACACACATGTTGATTATTCTGATTGTTTCAGACAGGTCATTCTTAAATGAAACTTTTAACAACTGAAAGCATGTGGTTGTGCCTAGAAGAGTGACTGTTCTCTTCAAATTGCTTGGTACCAGTACTTGATCCATGCTGGGGTGCTGACCAGGACCAGCATTGCTTCTGCAACCTTGGTGCATTGACAATTAGCAGACTTGTACTTCTGGATTACATTGTGAAAATGGTTTTGAGCATTCAGTAATATAACAAATCACAGAAATGTATGTAAGCACCCAAAGATCAGTGCATCAGGAAGGACTGTGGAATAGCCTAGAAAGAAAAACAGACTGGAAAGTTGCTTAGCAGTAGATGCTTGCCTCATGTTGGCTAGACATTGGGTTCCATCCCCAGCACCAAACAGATAAAGGAAACCTAAGAATTGGAAGGCCAGAACATAGTCATTACAGCCCATCCAACATGTGTTATTTAAGTTCCTGGGCCCTCCTAAGTCTTCCTTCATAAATAAAACTGGACAATGACCCACATTCACGGGAGCTGTGACTGTGAAAGCTTCTTGCATGTCCCACAGCCCCGGGCGGTGGTATTTTTTCTTACAGACTGATGAAGAAAAGCGACAGGGGCTACCTGTGGTCATGCCGGTGTTCGATCGCAATACTTGCAGCATCCCCAAGTCCCAGATCTCCTTCATCGACTACTTCATAACAGACATGTTTGATGCTTGGGATGGTAAGTCAGTTACTGCTTCATCACACACAAAGAAATTTGTTGCATTTGACATTTAATAACAGACTGGGTGTAAAAAATGAAGTATTTTTAAGCTGTTAGTTCTTTGTGGCCATACAGGGGATGTATGTGTACTGTATGTTATACATCCCTGATCCCCAGCATAGAACTTTGAATACAGATGCAATGTGTAGTAATTGGATAAACAAGTCTTCACTTCTTCAAAGGCCACATTCACAAGGCACACAGCAATTTACATCTGTCATTAGAGATAGAGAAAACTCCAGCTAGAGTCCAGTGCAGCACATCTACTCCAACACAGCTTCTCTTGATAATGTCACTGACTTAACAACTTTTCAGCTAATCAAGGGCCTTACTTGTATTTCACACACTCTGGCCCTGCTTGTGCTTGTTTTTTACTTGCAGCATGAGACCAAGTCCTGGGTTATCTTTTTCTTCAATTTTGTTCCTGAACCTAAGCCCTTGGGATCCAGCTTAATTTAATGGGTTTCTCTTGATTCTTTTATGTCCTTACAGCCTTTGCACATCTGCCAGCCCTGATGCAGCACTTGGCTGATAACTACAAACACTGGAAGACATTAGATGATCTCAAGTGCAAAAGTCTGAGGCTTCCATCTGACCCCTAAAGCTGAGCAGGAGGAGACTGACCTCTTCAAAGGACACTGTGACTCAGTAGTGTAAACAAAAGGTTCTCCTTCATATAAAAATGACAGGTGCAGATTAAGGAGCTAATGTTTAATATTTGACCCTAAGTCGTGCAAGTCTCCAAATTTCATTTTTTAAAAGTTATGTTCCAGGAAGGAAAATGTATGTTCTTTTGAATGATCACTTAGTGCCAGAAGGAATATTCGGCAGCCTCCTATGCTGGGCTGTCATCCCGTGGACCCTCGTACAATCATGGAGCTGATTCACAGTAATTTACCAGAACACAAATAGGGAAGACCTGGTACCTGTGAGCCTGGCCTCTGGGCTGGGGTCCAAGTAGCTTAGCCAGTGTTCTACTTATCTTTTACCATTAAATTACCAACACTGTATACTTGACCACCGTCTTCAACAGCATCAGTCTGAAGGATTCTTAAGACGCATATCTGAACAGATATATCTAAGGGGAAAAAAGCTACCTAAAATGAGCAGAACAACTAGGACCAAATTACTGATGGAGTGATTAGTTAAGTGGTTCTCCTGGTTGGTGGTGTGACAGTCAAGTTAGAATGCGCCTTGGCCTGGTGAGTGCTCCCTCTGGAAGGATGACAGCAGCTTGGAAGCCCTCCCTCCTCTAGAAGTAGTTCACCCAAGAGAAAGCCATCTGGGATGCAGGAGGAGTGGCTTCTTGCTAGGAGGAAATCCATGAGCTTCCCTTATTTTGGGTTCACAGAGGTAACCACAAGGCACTATCCTAAATATTATATAAAAGCCATTTAATCTGAATGCCCTTGGAAAAGCTTTTTTAAGGAAAAAAAATTTATATACATTTGCTGTTAAACATTTTTATTAAAACAACCTAAATTTTCTGGGTCTAGGCCCATGGAGTTTGTTGTGCCATGCACCACCTATATGTCTATATTTGGGACGGGATGGGGATGTTTCAAGGTTCAGATATTTTTAACTTATCTATATTTGAGATCATGTCATTTGCTTTAATGATGTAAAGTTATTGCAAGATGTGTAAATATATTAGAAAATTGGCATAAGGAGAGGCAGCAAATAATATTTTAAGCTATTAATTGTATGCTAAAAGCTTCTAAAGCACAAGTGCATATTTTTATACAGCTCTTTTCACAACTTCCTGTGATCTATATAAAGTCAAACTTAATGTTTTCCTTTCATCAGCCAGCCCTTCTTGGAGTTATGGATATTAGAAACTCAGTAAACAGAGTATGTTAGTTTTACTTTTTCTGTACTCCATGTTGCATCTTTAAGAGGTATATATACAGATGAAATTAATTGAATAAGTAGTTGCTTTTTCCAAAAGAAAAACGTATTTCAGAAATGAGACATGGGAAGAAAAAAACTGACATCACTACATAATGTGCCAATTTTTTTCTATGTTTTGTACCCAAAATGGAAACATATATGACAACTCCATGCAAAGAAATGTATTTAAATTATTTTTGTTAGATGATAAGAGAACTTGTTCGGGCAGGGCAGCAGCCCGCTTCGTGTTGTGATGCTCTTATGTAAATGTGATTTCATGTTTTTGTGAAGTACTTGTGACTAAATTCCTACAGCCATTTTCCATTCCCAACAGCTGTTTTCATTTTACCTCTTTGGCCTAAACTTTTCATAATTTCAAATTTTGGATTTAGTGTCCTTTATTTCATGAATCACACACTTTGTTTTCAGAACACGTTAAAATCAGGATGTTAACTCCTGATAAGGAGCTTCAGAAACTTGCTGGAGGCAAGGACAATATTTTTCTGACCACCTTGCTTTTAATTCCATTTGGTAAGTAACATTTATCAGGTTTCTGATTTTTTTTATATTAAAAAAATTACAGGTTAGTGTTATGTCAAGTAAATCTCATGTTAACATCAAAGCTTAAATATGTAGATGTTCAATCATTTAAGACAGTGGGGTCTGCAAATACTAGCACAGCTCTACTACCTATCAGTTGTAGTCTGCAGAGCAACTTTCTGAGTTGCCAACTGGCATAGTCTTCATATAATCAACTAGAAATACAGACTTTCAGGTGGTATATAGAACTCAGTTTCTACATGATACAAACTATTACATTTGCCACTTAAACAAATTTATTTACTAACTACAACACCATGTCTTGAAGAGAGCCATATTAGGAAAATGCAAAGCCATCTAATTAGAAGTTTCATGATTATTACTTCCAGCTGAAAAAAGAAAATTGGGTGCTACTTGAAAGATCCATATTTTCTCATTTTTGTCATTGTTTACAGTTAAGACTCTATCTTTCAGGGCAAAGAAGGACCTATCAGTAGTCAATCCACATGAGAAATAGAAAGGGTGAACTTTCAATTATGTTTTGTGAATGTAGCCAGAAAGTGAAGTGGAAGTATTTTTCTCTCTTCACATGACAAGGCATAATATATAGTGACAGTTGTGGTGTTGCCAATATCTTAAGTGCTGAAAGCTACCCCAAGAAAATAGGATAAAATATGTTACATATATTCATGTTTTCTTCTTCAAAACTGAAAGCTTAGCTTTTAGCAGAAGTCTTCATGGAAATACTGAGCAGCAACTAGGATTTGGTTACGATCAGAAGCAACTGGGATTTGGTTACTATCAGAATCTACTAACATTCTCGATGTCTCTAACCTTATGTACTCATGAAAAAAATATGCCATCAAATCCACTAACTAGGAAGGAGGCTGCTGGTAGAAAACTAGCTAACTACAATATGACAGAGATTCACTAAGGTACTATTTGCTTCCAAAACTTGTGTGTGATTTCTACCACTCCATTTGAGAAGATTACAATCACAAAATATAATCCAAAACAGGTTAGTAAACAAAACTATTAAAAACCCATGAACTGGGGCTGGGAAGGTGGCTCAGTGGTAGAATGCTTGCCTTGCATGCATGAGGCCCTAGGTTCGATTCCTCAGCACCACATAAGGAAAAAAAAAAAAAAGCTGGAAGTGGTGCTGTGGCTCAAGTGGTAGAGTGCTACCCGTGAGCTGAAGAGCTGAGGGACAGCGCCCCGACCCAGAGTTCAGGCCCCACGACCAGACCCCCCCCCCCAAAAAAAAATAAAACCCATGAATTACTTATGTCTTGCACAATTTAAGAAGATATCTTTAATAACTCATGACCTCAGAAGCCAGGTGCCAGTGGCTCACGCCTGTGATCCTAGCTATTCAGGAGGCTGAGATCTGAGGATCGTGGTTCAAAGCCAGTCCATGAGATTCTTAGCTCCAGCTATGTACCAGAAAACTGGAAGTGGCACTGTGGCTGAAAAAGTAGAGCGCTAGCCTTGAGCTGAAGAGCTGTAGGACAATGCCCAGGCCCAAAGTTCAAGCTCCATGACTAACACCCCCCATCCTCCACCCCCCACCTCCCCAACCTCCCCACCCCAGTCAAAAAAAAAAAAAAAAGAAAAGTAAAAGGGAAAGTCCATTTACAGAGGGTATTAGAAGGTTTAGGTGAGTCTAAAATAACCTCAGGTTATTTTAGAGTGCAGGTTGGCCAGGCTTAGAAGCAACACTCATTCCCCTTCAGGATGAAAGATTAGATAGCTGCCTGTGAGATAACTCAAACTTACCTCCATGTAATGGTTTGTGGCTAAAAGGTAGTGCTGCTTTTTCATTTATATTCTCTTCTCTAATGGGGTAGCTTAAGTTTTCATATATTTTCCCATTGAAAATTAAAACAGCACTAATGATTTGAACATTGCATTTCTTAAGTGGTACTTGTATGTCATCTAAGCCTTTCTCACTCCAGTCTTCAACTCCTTTTCTATTTTTTTTTTTGGGGGGGGGTCCGGTCATGGGGCCTGAACTCTGGGCCTGGGCACTGTCCCTCAGCTCTTCAGCTCAAGGCTAGCGCTCTACCACTTGAGCCACTTCCGGCTTTTTTCTTTTTTCTTATGTGGTGCTGAGGAATCGAACCACTCTACCACTGAGCCACCTTCCCAGCCCCCTTCAACTCCTTTTCTAAAACTGATAATAATTGGACAATAGAACTAAGCTACTACATGTGAGGCCTTAGTTTCCTCATGTACAACATTTTATGTCCTTGGATAACCTTAACTCTGCCAGTCTTTGTAGGTAGTTGTGAAAGTTAAAACTAGTAAAATAAGAATTTTTAAAAGTTCTAAGCCGGGAATGGTGGCTCATGCCTGTAATCCTAGCTACTCATGAGGTTGAGATCTGAGGATCGAGGTTCAAAGCCAGTCTGGATGGGAAAGGCCATGAGATTCTTATCTCCAAAAAACCACTAAGAACACCAGAAGTGGTGCTGTGGCTCAAGTAGTAGAGCACTAGCCTTGAGATGAAGTGCTGAGGGGGTATTAGTATAGATGCATGTATAATGAACTGATAAATCTGCAGGAGTTTTTTGAGGTCCGTTACTTTGCCCTTTCTTTAACAGGATTCAGTAGTGTAAGAAACATTCTACCATTTGGGCTGGGAAGGTGGCTCAGTGATAGAGCGCTTACCTTGAATTCATGAGGCCCTAGGTTCGATTCCTCAGCACCACATAAGCAGAAAAAAAACGCCAGAAGTGGCGCTGTGGCTCAAGTGGTAGAGCTCTAGCCTTGAGCTGAAGAGCTGAGGGACAGCGCCCAGGCCCAGAGTTCAGGCCCCACGACCGGATTACCGGCCTTTCCCCCCCCCCCCCAAAAAAAGAAAGAAACATTCTACCATTTAAATTCATCTAATTCATACTGTAGAATATTTGTTTTTACTTTTTAACACCAAAAGTGAGTATGTATCGTAGGCTAGTGGGTTGATGAAGGTGATCCAATCTCAGTTCCTACACATGAAGTTACACAAGTGAAGCATTCCTCAAGCAGATGGAGCAGGTACTTTGGCTTCAGTCCCTGACCTTGAAAACACTGTGCCTCTTTGCTGGTAGAGCACTGGTCCTTAGCATACATATAGGGCTGTTGGTCCAGTACTAGTCCATCCCCTAGTTGCTGAGGTCAATTCATACTGGGAAAGAAATAAACCCTCAAAAATATCATGGATTGCTGCATATAAGGATTTGTAATAGCACCAAAATTTTTAATGATTTAAGCCAATCAGTTGGTATCAACCCCCACAAAACCACTGTATTTACAAAATATAGTTCATTTTGTGGCCATGATTCATTTGTTCTAACAGATCATAGTTACTAAAAGCTAGGGAAATTTGTAGGAGAAAGGATATATTTACCACATGATGTGGTAAATTAAACAGGCTCTAAAGGAAATAAAAAGGAAATAAAAAATAAATCCTATTAGAACACCACAACTTTACTGTTACCTCTGTTTCTACTACTGTGAAGAGCTCAGTTCAGGCAAAGAAGCTGAGAACAAAGCACTTATGACTTAAGACGACACAATATATGCCACAGGTGAATGTGCCCAAACCTGACACGCTACTTCCCGTTACTTTATAAGTGCAAAAGAACTCAAATACGCAGAATCTGGAAGACAGGAAAAAAATCACAAATTTAAATAACACATTATTCCATAGTTTATATTTGCGATTCAGACACCTGTGCTTTCTTCATTAAACTAAACAGCAAGGTATAAGTCACCATTCTCCTCTAACTTTTGAAATAATTTTAAACTGCGCAATCCAGATTCTTGCTCCCCATTTTTCCACAAAATAATGAGATGATCAGCAGAGCAAGTCACTAGTCCATGATCTTCAAAGTACAGAAACATCTGTAAAGAAAATTGAGACTTCTGATTACAGGGACTTCAAGAAGAGACCACTACTAATGTGCATGCTTAAAAAAGATAATTTGATAACTTACTTGAATTTAAATATGAAACCATTATCCTTCTCTCCTTCCTTACTTCCTCATTTTATTTATTTTATGGAATTGAATCCAGGTCTTCACATAAGTCAGGCAAGTGCTCTGCCATTTGAGCCACACTGCGTACCTTTTTGTTTATATCTGGATTTTGAGACAGGGTCTCCTTCTAATATTGCCCAGGCTGATCTCAAACTCATGATCTTCCTGTCCTCTGCCTCCTGAGAGCTACGTTGTGTGCCTCACTGTGCTTGGTGAGAAATTTTTTTAAGTTAAAAAAATAGAATCATAGGTATGCAATGCAACAGCATTAAAATACATAATGTTGTGAGTTCATCATCATCATCTATACAGAAAACTTTTTTGGAATCCTCAATATAAACTCTGTAGTGACTAGTCTTCAGCAAAAAAGCTAAGGGACATAGCCTAGGCCTGAGTTCAAGTCCTAGAACAGGCATCAAAAAAATAAAGCCAGCTGGGCGCCGGTGGCTCACACCTCTAATCCTAGCTACTCAGGAGGCTGAGAGCTGAGGATGGAGGTTCAAAGCCAGCCTGGGCAGGAAAGTCCATGAGACTCTTATCTCCAATAAACCACTAGAAAACCAGAAGTGGCACTGTGGCTCAAGTGGTAGAGCGTTTGCCTTAAGTTGAAGAGCTGAGGGATAGCACCCAAGCCCAGAGAGTTCAAGCCCCACAACCAACCAAAAAGATAATAAATAAAAAATAAAGCCAAGCTAAGCCAAAGCATAAATTGTTAAGTTCAAGTACTGGTACCAGAAAGGAAAAAAAAAATGAGGTCTTTGATGGAGGGAAATAGATGACCAGAATAAACATGTTAAGAGTTCTCTCCTGAAGACAGCAGAATATGGCAAGGACTTACTGATGGTAACAGAGTGAAGGGAGGAGATGTTAAGAGCAAAATCTCAAAAGACTGGAAAGATAGAATTCAGTACGTAGGTAGAGAGGCTGGGCCAGACAGCAGCAATGAAAATATAGTCTCAATGAGGATATTCAGTAGACAGCTTCTAAGGAACCTAGATTTTAAGAGGACCTAGATTTTATCAATGAAGCCACAGGTACTTTTTTTTTAAAGTTGCAAAGCTGTGCCCGCAGCTCACACCTGTAATCATAGCTATTCAGGAGACTGAGATCTAAGAACCTGATTCAAAGCCAACCCATGCAGACTCTTATTTCCCACCAAATCCCAAAAGTGGAGCTGTGGCCTAAGTGTTACAGTGCTGGTCTTGAGCAGAAAAGCTCAGGGATAGCATCCAGGCTGCATTCAAGCTGTAAAGGTCTCCTCCACCATTTAAAAACTAATGATCTACCACTATCATAAAATAAAGTCCAAGGCTCTCAACTAGTGGAGAGCTTGCATTGAAATGCTATACCACCAAGGAATTAATAAAAAGTAAAAATAAAAGTGCAAACTTTTCAGCCTTACTTTAAAGGACATTGATAATCTGAGGCCCAACTATCTCCCCAGCCTTTATGACTAGTGTCTCTTCTTGGACACCCAGTGTGCCTGTTTACCATTGTCTACTACCACATTCCATGCTAACCACCCCAAACCACATCACAGTCACCATGCC